TGTCGGCGGCGCGGCCCGGACGATGTGAGGACCCGGCGGCGGGGAGCGGGCGGTGGGAGACAGGCACCGGCGGGGCAGCGGAGGAGGATGAAGCCTGAGCACCAGAGCTTAGGGACCCAGTGAGGGACGCCGGCGCCGGCCCGCCCTCCGTCGCGCGTGACGTCAGCACGTCCTGTAGCCTGACCACGCCCCCATGAGTTGCTATAAAGGCGGGTTCGACGCGGACGCAGTTTAGGGGTGACGGTGATCTCCCCCGTTCAGCAGCTCGGTATGATTTGCGCGGGTGTGGCGAGCGAAGCGTGATGTCGCGGGAGAGGCGCATGAGGATAGGCTTTGGGAAACTACTGCTGAACAGGAAACCGAACATGCCCATAACCGAGAGAAGCCGCTAGTCTTTCCCGTGGGACTCCTTCACAAGCTGCTAGCTTAGACCAGAATACTAATGGGCGGGCTACTACATAGATGCAGAGAAGCGCTCTGACGCCGCGGCAGGTGAGGAATTGCCCAAAGTCACTCCAAACAAGGCTAGGATCTGAGGGGCTCACGCATTCTTCACAGGAGCGCACTGTGAAGTGCAGAAGCAAAGATTTTGTTTCTTCTTTGATTTGTTGTTTGGTGTCTTTAAAAATAAATCACGCAGCTCAAGCTACGCCTGAACTCCTGATCCTCCTGCCTTGGATTACAGACTGATCCCACCTGCTCTTGCACGGGTTTTTAAATTTGATATCCAGTGTTGATCGCCAGTTTGCCAACCAATGCCCTTGTCATCAGAGGGTCACAGTCAAGGGTGCAGAGCAGTAGACTAGACCAGTTGAGATCAGATGAGGTGCATCCAGGCAAGAACAAGGGGAAAGTATGAACCAGTTTTTACATTTGTGGTCACCATAGATAAATATGGTTTCATAAGCAGTTTTGGCAAAAGCTAAAAACTGAACTCTGTTTCCAGGTGTACAGCCATCCAATCTACTGAGTCACCCGGCATGGCAAAATTCCCAGCACATGATAGGAGGCTTTGTGCAGAGCTGGCTTTGGGAAAAGGAATGTGATATGGTCCCCTCTCCAAATAGTCTCATTTTCTTGTAAGAACGGTATGCTTTTGTAAGGAAAATGCATTCAAAGAATAAAGTCACTTACCTCTAATGTAAGGACTGCAAATTGCCTTTGGCCAGCTTACATTCTCAGAGGCAGTTCCAGTGAGTGTCAGCCTTTCTATTTAGGGATGCCATGGTAAGGATCCATCTGTCCTTTGGTGTTCTCAGTCAGGCCCAAGGCTGGCTTTCTGAGGAGCAGGTGTTTCTGTTGTGTGCCAATGCTAACAAAAATATTTATGGCTTCCATGGCTTATGTGTCCAAACAGAGCCACTGCATGGAGAATGTGCACCTTCCTGCTCAGACCAAGTGAAGGGACTCTTTTTTTTTTTTTTTTGGTTTTTCGAGACAGGGTTTCTCTGTGTAGCTTTGCGCCTTTCCTGGAACTCGCTTGGCAGCCCAGGCTGGCCTCAAACCCACAGAGATCCGCCTGGCTCTGCCTCCCGAGTGCTGGGATTAAAGGCGTGTGCCACCACCGCCCGGCCGTGAAGGGACTCTTTAAAAGCAGCAAGTGGAGGCCAGGAAGACGGCACAGACAGTAAAGCGACTGCCCTGAAATTATGAGGGCCTGAGTTCAGATCCCAGCACCCATCTAAAAAGCTGAGCGTGTACCTGCAATTTCAGCACTGAAGGCAGGTACAGGAGGATCTCTATGACAGGCTAACCAGCGAACCTAACTGAATGGTGAGCTCCAAGTAAAACACTGTCTCAAAAAGCAAGGTGGAGGGCTGGAGAGATGGCTCAGTGGTTAAGAACACTGTCTTCTCTTCCTGGGGACCCAGGACTTCAGTTCCTAGCACCCACATGGCAGCTCACAACTGTGTGTAACTCCAGTTCCAGGGAATTGGATTCTCTCTATTGGCCTACTCTGACACCAGGCATACATGTGGTACACAGATATGTAAGCAGGCAAACACTCATACACATGAAATAAAAATGCTTTAATATTAATTAAACAAATGTTTTAATTAAACAAAAATAAGACAGGAGAAATGGCTCAGTAGTTAAGAGCAACTGCTGTGCAAAGCATAAAGACCAAGTTCAGATCCCAGCACACATGTTAAAGTAAGGTATCGTCCATCCTGTAACCCCAGCCCTCAAAAGTGTAGAGACAGGAGGATCACTGGGGTTGGGGGCTGTCAGCCTAGTTGAAAAACTACAGCACTAAGTTCATCAAGATATCCTGCCTCGAGCTGGAGAGATGGCTTAGAGGTTAAGAGCACTGGCTGTTCTTCCAAAGGTCCTGAGTTCAATTCCCAGCAACCACATGGTGGCTGGAAACCATCTGTAATGAGATCTGGTACCCTCTTTGGGCCTGTAGGGATACATGCAGGCAGAACACTGTATACATAATAAATAAATAAACCTTAAAAAAAGATATCCTGCCTCAAAGAATCAAGATGGAAAGTAATAGAGAAGATACCTGACACCTTCTGGCCTCCACACACACACAGAGACACCTGTCCACATGTGTGCATATACCACACACATGCACACATACATGTACACATACACACAGAATAGGGTGGAGAGAGATTGAGGAAGACACTAGACACTTGTGAGACAGGTTTTCTCTGTGTAGTCCTGGCTGTCCTAGATCTCACTTTGTAGACCAGACTGGCCTCGAACTCACCGAGATCCACCTGCCTCTGCCTCAGGAGTGCTGAGATTAAAGGTGTGCACCACCACCACCACCACCACCACCACCACCACCACCACCACCGCACGGCAATGTTAGACACTTTGAAGATGTTAATTTCTGATGACCTCCACAAACACATGGGACTGAAGGTTCACATCAATCTCAGGCTAGAAACAAACAAAAAAAGGAGGAGGAGGAGGAAGAGGAGGAGAAAAAGAGAAGGAGCAGCAGCCACTTTTGCTGAAAAAGGCATTGACTCCTCACTCATACAGGCAAGATTGGAGACAGAAAGGTAAGCCATTGTTCTACCCCTGCATGGTGAGGCCACACCCCAGAGCAGAGGCAGTCGCCACATGAGAACTAGATGGCTCCCCTCAAGTGATGAGAGCATGACCACCTTGCAGAACCAGAACTGAGATATGATCAGACCACACCCTGACAAGGTCTGCTGAATTCATCCTTGCTCCACTCATCCTCTTCTTACACCTAATGTCAATAGCAGGAAGGTGGACTTGCGGTTACTGGACCTCTTCCTCTATTCTTTCCATGGTGGCCAGATCAAATAAATCTCCTCCTTTCTGCCCTTTTCACTGCTATTCATCTTTAATTGGCATATCTGCAAGGGTGGACAAGACCTTTGGGGCTGCCCGAGTCAAAGGTTTTGCTCTAAAAACTCCAGTCACACTGACTGCCATTCCAAACCAGGAACTCGCTGCAGAGGAACACCCAGGATGGACACAAATTTTACTTATCCCAGGGATAGTAGCAGGATGACTGGGTCATGTAGTCTGCACATATTTTTAAATCTTACTTTTATTATTTTTAACTACGTGTGTGTGTGTGTGTGTGTGTGTGTGTGTGTGTGTGTGTGTGTGTGTTTGGGACTATGTGCATGTGAGTGCAGATGCTTACAAAGACCAGAGACATCAGATCACCTTAGAGCTGCAGTTACAAGCAGCTGTGAGCTCCTTGTGTGGGTGCTGGGAACTGAACTCAAGTCCTCTGCAAAAGCAGTGCACGCTCCAGCCCCTCTCTCCGTACAGTTCATATTTAAAGAATCTACCAGAGTGTTTGACAAAGAGTCTGTACAATTTTAGAATTCTACCATTTGGGGAAAAATCTGGCAGGCTTTAAATTAACTTTTAAAGATTATTTTTTTTATTTATTTTTTAAAAAGATTTACTTTTATAAATATAGATATATAAATATATATATAGTATTCTGCCTGCATGTGTCCCTGCAGGCCAGAAGATGGCACCAGATCTCATTAGAGATGGTTGTGAGCCACCATGTGGTTGCTGGGAATTGAACTCAGGACCTCTGGAAGAGCAGTCAGTGCTCTTAACCACTGAGCCACCTCTCAAGCCCTTAAAGATTATTTTAAATGTAGGAATATTTTGCCTGCATATGTGTAGGTGCCCCATATGCATGCCTGGTGTCTGTGGAGGCCAGAAGAGGGCATTGGATCCCTTGAAATCGGAGTCACAAAGGTTGTAAGCTGCCATTTGGGTGCTGAGAACCAAACCCAGGTTAGCCACATAGCTTACTGCCCTCAATCACTGAAATTGATTTTTCTCCAGCCACTTAAATTAATTCTTGATTATCTCTGTCTTTCTTCCCCCTAGAAATAGGACAGCAGACTCACTTTGTAGATGTTTCTTGCACCCCTGATCATCCTGTCTCCACTTCCCTAGTACTAAGATTATAAATGTGTGAAGCCGGGCGGTGGTGGCGCACGCCTTTAATCCCAGCACTCGGGAGGCAGAGCCAGGCGGATCTCTGTGAGTTCAAGGCCAGCCTGGGCTACCAAGTGAGCTCCAGGAAAGGCGCAAAGCTACACAGAGAAACCCTGTCTCAAAAAACCAAAAAAAAAAAAAAAAAAAAAAAAAAAATGTGTGCCACCTTGCTAGACTTGTCTATATTTTAATCGTACAATATTTTTTATTTCCACAGGAAAATGATTATTACATATAATCAAATTAACATACATCACCTTCCATAAATTCTCATGTGGGTGCTGGTTGGTTTTTTGGCTTTTAAGCTATGGTATCACAGGCTGATGGCATTGGCTCAGTAGGTAAAGTGCTCACTATACAAGCTTGATGATGTGATTTCAACCCCTGGACCCACATAAAGATAGAAAGAGAACTGACTCCACAAAGTCTTCTGACCTCCACATTTGTGCCATTGGAATGCACTCAGACAAACACACCATTCACACACATACTTATTGTTCCCTTGGAAGTTCTTCCTCAGCCTCCCCCTTCCCTCTCCAAATCCTGCCCTCTCAGAAGCCCGACAAGCTGCGGCTCCTCCCTCGGAGCTGCTCAAGATCTACAGGGTATTTAAGCTCCCGTCCCTAGACCAGCCATGTGATCTCTCCTCCTCCCTCCCCCACCTCACTTCTGGGGGAACTGGAGGGGTCACCCAGGGGTGCTTTGTTCATTCATTAAACCTGGCCTTTTTGATTTGGCTTGATCTGACTTATTGCATCGACAGAGAAACCTACTATGGGGGGGCAAAAATACTTATGTATTATCATAATAATGGACATTTTTAAAAGAGATAGGATCACACTATGTATCCCTAGATGGCCTTCAACTCAAGATTTTCCTGCCTCAGTATCTTGACGATGGGAATACAGGGGTGTGCCTGACAGTGATGCTGTTTCTTTAAAAAAAAAAAAAAAAAAAAAAGTGAGCCAGGCCCTGGTGGCAAACTTCTTTAATCCCAGCACTCAGGAGGCAGAACCAGATGAATCTCTGTGAGTTCGAGGCCTGCCTGGGCTACAGAGTGAGTTCCAGGAAAGGCACAAAGCTACACAGAGAAACCTTGTCTCAAAAAAAATTAAGTTTTTGTACAGCCCTATCCTCAGAGTAGAACAGCTGTCATCTTCATAAGACCAGCCGTGTCTGCTTGCAAAAGATCATCATGGCTAGGCTTGCTGGCTGTTGACATTTCATCACAGACAAGGAGGCCTGGAGGTCTGCATATCCAGCCACTCCTCATCCGTTACATGCAATCGGATTGGCCTTGAGATCTAGGGTGGGATAGAGTATATAGACTGGGGAGGATGGGGAAAAGGAGTTTCCATCTGTGCAGCCATGGGGAGGCCATCTTCCATGCTGGGTACAGCCCTTCCAGAATGGCTGCTTTAGGATCACCCTCACTCCTGCCTGTAACCCCTTACCCATGCTCTGTAAGCAAGCCCAATAAACTCATTGGTTCTCCATGGTGAAGTTGGGCAGAATCCAGCTTTGGTTTGTCACTGGGACCTTAGGAGGGTTAGATGTTGCCCAGTCACCCTTTCCTACCACCAGTGGGAGGAAACCTTTGCACAAAGTGGGTTATTTATCAAAACATGGGCAGTTTGCAGCTTACACCATCGAGGAGTGATACCTTCTCTCTC